AAATCCATTTCGCACCACCTAAGAAACCATGGTTGAAAACAAACGCTTGTCTGGCAGAGGGAAATCGAAAATCCTTCTTGAGGGGTTTCTGAACGCTGCCGCGCTTTCATGGGTTTCGGTTCGACCATCCAAAACACGAACAATGTTTAAGCATGTTTAAACGCTTGTGTTTTATCTTCTGGATTTATGTTCCATCCACCTGGACCGAGAAAAAAGAAAAGGGGGGGGCCGAAGAGGAGTCGAGAAAAAGGAGCGAGCGGCCCGGAGAAGCCGGTCAGATGCGATGCGAAACGGGGCCGGAGGTTCCAAGGAAGACGTTGCAACTGGCGATGCCAGGCGCATCTAACAGAAGAGCTGAAAAATGTCTCAGCCTTCAGATATATATACATATATATATATATATACATTAATATATATATATATACATTAATATATATATATATATGTGCATGATTCCTTTGCGCAAATCAGGAGGTTCTACCATTTCCCCACAAAAAGCCGCGTTTTGCGGCTAAAGACGTTCAAGGGCCAAACCAAAAACTCGCCCAGATCATTGAAGTTGGGCCCTCATGGCTCCGAAGATGTGCCCAAGTAGGCGATGATGTGATCGCGGTGCTTCCGGTTGCCCCCATAGTAGGCATTCAGACGGATTTTCCCATCATGTAAAACCTAGAGGTAAGAAGCTGGTGTTACCTATTTTAGTGGCAAGCGCCTGGAAGCACTGGGATGTTTAAAAATCCAACTATCCCCTGGAATGCGGTACATGTCTTTCTTCATAGAATCACTGCTAAGAGTCCGCAAAAGGGGTCCCCCCAACAGTTAAGCGCTTAAAAGCAGCAAAACTGCACATTGAGTGTGGGGGGGTAAACATTGGGAACTCACGACTGGATCCTATGATTGAGTGGGGGTTGGTATACCCTGGGACACCTAATTTAAAGGTTTTTCGTGGAATTTGGGCAACACCTTCAAATTAGGATGTGTTTTGGAGTATTTGAGTAGCATTTGAGTAGCATTTGAGTAGCATTTGAGTAGCATTTGAGTAGCATTTGAATAGCATTTGAGCAGCATTTGAGCAGATTCGACCAAAATCTTCAAATTAGGATGTGTTTTGGAGTATTTGAGTAGCATTTGAGTAGCATTTGAGTAGCATTTGAGTTGCATTTGAGCAGCATTTGAGCAGATTCGACCAAAATCTTCAAATTAGGATGTGTTTTGGAGTATTTGAGAGCATTTGAGTAGCATTTGAGTAGCATTTGAGCAGCATTTGAGCAGATTCGACCAAAATCTTCAAATTAGGATGTGTTTTGGAGTATTTGAGAGCATTTGAGTAGCATTTGAGTAGCATTTGAGTAGCATTTGAGCAGCATTTGAGCAGATTCGACCAAAATCTTCAAATTAGGATGTGTTTTGGAGTATTTGAGCAGCATTTGAGTAGCATTTGAGTAGCATTTGAGTAGCATTTGAGTAGCATTTGAGTGGCATTTGAATAGCATTTGAGCAGATTCGACCAAAATCTTCAAATTAGGATGTGTTTTGGAGTATTTGAGAGCATTTGAGTAGCATTTGAGTAGCATTTGAGCAGCATTTGAGCAGATTCGACCAAAATATTCAAATTAGGATGTGTTTTGGAGTATTTGAGAGCATTTGAGTAGCATTTGAGTAGCATTTGAGTAGCATTTGAGCAGCATTTGAGCAGATTCGACCAAAATCTTCAAATTAGGATGTGTTTTGGAGTATTTGAGCAGCATTTGAGTAGCATTTGAGTAGCATTTGAGCAGCATTTGAGCAGCATTTGAGCAGATTCGACCAACATCTTCAAATTAGTATGTGTTTTGGAGTATTTGAGTAGCATTTGGGTCATCATGCCAATTGTCCATAGCCCCAGGTGATACTGCCGACCTTGAACATGAAGTGGCAGCATCAAGGTTCATGTGCCCAGAGAAAAAATGTAGCAAATCTAGCTTTTTAGTCACTATTTGAGCAATGTCCATTTATGTGGCAAAAATAGTTTAAATAGCGCTTTTTAGGTACCATTTGAGCAAAGAGCACATTACTTTTGGGGGACCCCTTTTTGGGGACTCTTAGCAGTGATTCTATGATTTCTCATCTTGGCTGGAATTAGGACCCCAGCAAAAAATGTATGCTCGGCCTAGTGGGTGAAAAACAAAGGGGCCCAAACAAGCAAAAAGGAAAGCAACATCAGGGGAAGATACTGAATTTGGGTTCCCCATGTTTCCCCGTTCTCAATTCACCCCACCTAAACGCAGAACACTTTGAACTTGCCCAAGAGCTAATGCTTGCCCACCAAAAGGGACAAAGGGAGTCCGAATTTGTATCTTCACCCCTTTGTAGAAACTGGTTTGGGTGCCCTTGCTTGTGGATTTAACAGATTCAACTTTGCTCCCTGCGACGGACGCACGGATTCGTGTTTCTTCTCAAATCTGGGCAAACTGCTTTTGAGTTTGTCTGATCTGCTAAAACACTTTGAAGTGTGTGACAAAATAGGCGTCCATGTCATGCTCACTTGCGTATTGCTGAACAACAATTAATTAGCAATGAGATTCTACGTCACATGGAAGTTTAACTCACCAATTTGGCTGCCCAACTCAGACACATTCGGCGCTGCGCTGTCCGTTGCAGACGGCATGCTTTTGAGGGAACCAAAGGAACATCCAAAAAAAAGGACAAGTCCCTCGATTTGCTTACATCCCCCGGAGAATCTAACAAGCTGTCCAGCAGAGATGAGCTGACAGGGGAGAATAAAACATACTCTTCATCAACGGTGACCTTTCGGACAAATAGATGGGTTTTTGTGGCAACTGGAATCAAACCCATCTAAACCAGAAGAACCTATTTCTACTTCTCTCCAAAACAACCTAAAAAGAACATCTATGATCAAGCGATCAACTGGACCCATTATTTTAGGTCATCCACGTTCAGTGGTGGGTTGAAGGGACACCACCAGTTTCTGACCTGAACCCCCTAGAAAGAGTGAAACCAATGACAGTTTTTAACCCTAAGAAACGCGAACCCATCTATTTCTCTTAGTCTAATCTAAGCGACCAAAAGGACACCTACGTTCTTCTGCTAATGGCTCTGAACCCATGGCATTTGGTTCTGATGCCCAGCCTCTCACTCCGTGGGCCGCGCATTCCAGGAGCCGGGCACCGGCCAGCTGAGCAGCTCGTCGTTGCGCACGTCGCCCACGAACATGTGCCCCGGCGCGTGGGTGATCACCTGACTGGGGTCATCATTCTGACGGTCTCTGGAAGGGTTGTCAAAGTCAGAAAATGGGTGTGGCTCAAATATAACAGGAGGGGTTACGCAGGTTTTGGTCCATGTTTCCACTTGCCAGGGTTCCATTTTGGTACCGGGTTTTTGAGCCACAGCCAAATGGATTCGGTTGTTTCCCTCTAACCACCACTCAGGAAGGTGTAGAGGACTATGCCATGTCTTGTGTGTCAAAAAACCACCACTCAGGGGGTGACTTTGATCATGGTAAAATAATGCAGCCAGGCTGAAGCAACCAACCAACATGGGGTCCCAAGGCCGGGTGCGGCTTCCAGGCGCGCAAGGGAAGGAATTTGGGGATTTTTCATTTAAGGGAAACTCCAGGCGCGCAAGATCAGATTTGTAGGGAAGTCATTTGGGCAAACTAGAGGGGAAACATCCTAAGAGCTTCCAGCAAAGCCAACCAGGTATGGCTACCTCTAGGTTTTATGGTTTGCCCTGGTTACCCACTATAGTGGTGAAGGAAGCACTGGGGTACGAAATCCTTGGGCAGTTTCACCTCCGGGCCTTACATGGTGCCTTCCCCGGATACCTACTATCATGATAACTGGAAGCACTGGGTTTCTCATGCTGTGGGTGGACGAAATCCTGGACCGCCTCAGAAACCCTGCAATGATGACTTCCCCTGTAAATACCAACCAATCAATGGTTTGTCATGGATTCAAAGTGATGCGAACAGATTTCGTACATCCACAGAAAGTTTGTTAATTTGAGGAAGACTGAACATGAAACAGAATGTGCACAAATTATTTTTGGTGTTTCCTGGGCCAGGCTCTGTGAGGTTGGTTGGTCTGCTGGGAGACTACCCCTATTTGGATGTTCAACCTACTGAGTAAGGTAGATCATAACTATGCTATGGCTACAAGTGGAACAACAAGGGATGCTTGACTTATAAAATGCAACAAAGAACAACTGTCTCCAGAAATCTGGGTGGCTTCCTACTGAATACCATCCAAGAAGGTGTTTTGTTGATGGGAACCACCACTCATTGGCTGAGTGGATGGCCCAAAAAAAGTCCAAACTTTATATTTGCCACTAAAATGGTCATCCCCAAAAGTTTAAAGTTCATGAACTCAGGAAGTGAGTTGATGGGAACCACCAAGTTAAGCGCAAGCAAACGTAGCTCTCTCCGCCCAAATTCGATCTTTCTGCGAGGCCGCCAAGGGCAGCCGCGCGTTGCGCAGCGCATTCTGCGGGGTCACGCCGCAGGCCCAGAAGACTGGCACCTGGGTCGTTCAAGCCACGAGGTTCAAGCCACTTAGGTTACAACTCGGGGTATAGGGCTTAAGGTAATTTGGGTTTAAGGTTTAGGGTTTAGGGTTGTTACCCTACTTATAACCATGGTTATAATCTACCTCGGAGTCTCCTTCTGACCCTTACAAAATGGTTGGTCAAAACCCAAAATAAATGGTTGGTCATTGACCCATGTTTAAAGGGTCATGGAGGTCGGGTTATAAGGCAACCAACCCATGTTACCCTCCTTATAACGCTTATATGGATACAACCTACTTACGGAGTTGGCTGAACATCCAAGTAACGGTCGTTTGCGCGGCCCGTTAACTGAACCCCCAGAGGCGACCCCGAAATAGGGAACCAACTCAAACGTGGCGGACATGGATCCCTAAATGATGTCCACCATTTCGGGTCCCCAAATAAAGCACATCTTCTCAAATGAGTGTCAACATGAGGCTTGGTTGCCGTTAACCCCCCTGCAAAAAGTTTAACTGTTTGGGGGTTAAGTGGAAAGCACCTTGATTTCCCAAAAAGTAAAAGTCTAAAGATCCAACCCAATAGCAGTCAAGGAGGTAGCTTGACGGCAGGATATGGGACACATTCCGTTTCACCGGGGTGTCTTTGCCCAAAAGACGGTAAGTTTAGCTGCGGATGCCCGGCCGCAACCAAATAATCTCGAGGGGCTCCTTTGACTGGTCCCATTTCGATGAAAGTTCCGTAGGATTCCTTGTCCCCGTTATTAAAGGAATGGCAAGTTGCTGCCGTGCTGCTTTTTTTTGGCCACCCCCAAACCCCTAAAGGTCGTGCACTCAGTCCCTCGTTCGAATGGCAAGGATCCAATTCAGATGACCAAAACATAGTCGTTGCCCGCATTAAAAGAATGGCAAGGATCCAGTTCTTGGTGGTAAAAAAGTGTCGTGGTTGGACCCAATTGAAACATAGTGAGGTAAACAAATATTAAAAAAATGGTGGCTACACAAGCCTCTGCCGCTCGGTGCCTCTCTAGTGGTGTTACTTGGATCTTGGATTCGCCAAGTAGGTTGGCCACCTGTGGTAGAATCAAAGTGAGGAGGTGGCTCAAAAATAAAGTAAACCCAAAAGCCAATAAAAGAATGGTTGACCCAACTTGGATGGTGACACTCCTTAAGTAAATGCTGATTACATTCACCCCCGATATTTTTTTATGGTTGCTTAAACCCCAGGGGTTAACAACCATGGCTTTGGGATACCAGGGTTACTAACCACTTAGCCATGCCTAGACCATCCAAGGAATTACTGAACTGTCTACAGGGGTCCCCCCAAAAGGCAAGGCCAAAAAAACCCCTTTGTCCCCACAAGCAACGCCTCTGAATCAGCGAAATGTGAATGTCATGGTCAAAATGTGTCCCTCGCCGCCAATGAACCAAACCAAAACACTAAAGACAAAAAAACCACGCAACCCACGGGTGCCCTTTTGGCAACATAGATGGGTCTCCCTGGTAAATGGAATGAAACCAATCAGAACCGGTGGAACCAAACTAACCTGAAAGGGACAACCCAACTAACCTAAAAAGGGCACCTACGGCACTCTCTGTTGGTTGGCTTTGCAAGGAAACCAAAGGGATCCGAGCCATTTTCGTTTGGCCTCGAGCCAAAAAAGGCTTTCAGAACAAACCCTAGGTCCTCCAGTAGAGCGGTTAGAATAAGGGTACCCTTGTTTCTGTAGTCTATTTTGGTAGGGGAACCCTCTCAACCAAAAAAGAGGTGAGAAAGGGCACTACTGGGGGACCCAGAATCGGTGAAGTTGAGGCAACCCAAAGAACCCCCCGCACTTGTCGCATGCCGCGCAACTTCGCCGGCGCGCAGGGACACCGCCTCACCGTAGTCGGGCTTGGACAGATCCTGCATTCTGAACCGGCGAAAATGGCATGAACAAATCATCCCCAGCATTCATGGGTGTTTGCTCCAGTTGACAAGGCATGCTGCATGCATGTATACATTATGTATATATATATATATGTATGTATGCCCTTCTTCCCCCCCCTAAGGGCCAACCTTTCCACTTCAAAATGTACAACATCCTCTTATTTCAAAGACATGGGGTGCGAGCACATATACGCAAGAAGTGTGCTGTTGTTGCATATTTTGTGCGGGTGACAAGTCATGTTGAGAAACAACAGCGAAGAGCTTATAAACTTTCCTGGCCCAGGGGGGGGGACCATATATATACATATATATATATATATATATTTAGATGGTCCCCCCACAGTATGCATGTATTAAACAATATTTGGATGTCCCCCCCACCACAACCAAGACAAAACCACCTCGAAAACATGTCAAACACACGCGCGTTTCATACGTGTAAGTACATCGCCGTGATTTCGAGTTGCCACACCTTCGCCCGCTGGCCGTTCCTTGACGCCGATCTCCGCAGGCTCTCCGATGTGCACCGGGGGGCCTGCAAGAGGCGGGGGAGTGGGGAGGTGGGAGGGGGGTGGGTGGCTGTTCCTTAGCCCTGGCGTTCAAACCACCATTCAAACTAAGGGATGTTTGATCTAACCGCGATTGTTTTCCAAATTGGGTCCCCTTGATTCAAACAAAGGGATTTAATAGAACCACCATTTCTCTCCAATTTGGTTCCCCTTGGGCCCTTGGGCCATTCTTTTTTATTGGGGGCAAGGACATTTTTGGGCTAGAGGGTCGTGTTTTCCAGCCCCCATGCCTGGCCACGGGCCGAAAAGGATGCCAACCTGTCACGGTTCAAAGTTCAAAGAGGGAGATGTGGGACCTGGACACAAGCCGATTTGGACTACCTGACGTTTTGGGTTGGGGTTGAACATCCAAGGAAACCTTAGGAAACCTACTTCTCAGAGGGTCCAAGTACCCCATATTTGAATTGCCGACTCCTCCAATCCCGAAATATGAGGTGCGTGGACCCTTTGGGAACCAAACAACCAAACAACCGAACCGAAGCGGTGGCCATGTACGGGTCGGAGGGTGTCCTTCGGTCTCCCGAAGAACAAAAAGGACGCCCCAAAAAACGACACGCCGTTGCGAAGAATCAGCGCCTGGCAGATCGCAGCCTTTTCTTGGTGCTCTAAAAAAAAACAAAAAGGGAAGTCAAGCAGATGTCACATTTGTCTTGACATGGAGAAGGTGGCCACGCTTTGCACTTCTCTCTCCCTTTTCGTTGTTTTCTCTTGACATGCTGTGTGTGGGACGAAATCCGTTTCGCACCACCCTCCAGAAACCCTGCTTTCTGATTCGATTCCCCTGTAAAATACCCACACACATTTCAATTCAACCATGGCAACTCATTTCGCGGTGCTGTCTCGGATTTGGTCCATCCGCAGTACGGCTCTTCCTCGAGAGGGCTGTGGCACCGGCGATGTTTTTGCCGAAGATCCATTTTGTTGCACTCTCTCTTCCTTTTGATTTCACTAAACCGGGGCTACGGCCTGTCCATCAGTGTGTCTCTCCTTTTGAATTCACGAAACCGGGGCGAATTTAAACGCCCAACAGGAAGCCTGGGGCCCGGCTTGCTTTGTCTGAGTGCTATGCCCGACAGCCAGGGGGGGGAACTCCCATGGGAGAAGGAGACATTGCCTGACTGACGAAGAAAACCATCCGAATGCTTCCAGCGAGAGGCCGAAACTCTTAAGTAGGTAACCCAACCTACTTACGAATCGCTACCTCTTTAGGTGTTACATCAGGGTTGTGGGGAATGACCACCTCTGTGATACAACAGAAAGGGCTTCCCAAAGACTAACCCCCCATATGAAGGGGGAGATTCCCTTGTATCACAGAAGTGGGGAAAAACCCCGAGTGATCCCACAACCCGGTTTTACATGGTTGGAAGTCCCTGGTTGCGAGCCCAAGTGGCGAAACGCCTGGAAGCACTGAATAAGGCTATAACCCGATTGCCCAGGGGGGCAATCGAACGGACGCCGCCCAAACGAAAACAAAACAGGGGTAAGGAAGCAAACAAATACGAGCCACCCACATGTTTAAACCACATGTCAGTTTGACCTCCACGAGGCTTTCAAAGTGACAGGAGGCCAGCATCCCAACCTGGTCTCAAGGTCTCCCATAAACCTAGTCTCATTGATTTCCGTGTTTGCCAACTCTGGGCTTAAGTCTGGTTATTCACACACGCATGGCCTGAATCTGAACGCAACATATGTGTGGTTTTAGATCTGTTAAATGTTTCGTTTACCCTGCTCAGTGCCTCTGATTCAAAACCCCGGCATCCAAATGGTCTACCCAGAACCACGTAAAGAATTAAGAAGGCGGATATCCGCAGCTATTTATGGCTGGAAGTGTCCCTAACGTTCATCTACCCGAATCGGTTTTGAGCACGTGGCTCACATGGGCCAAGGGCCGTCTGCCAAGGTGCCGTGCGCTGCCAAATACCTTCCCGTGATGTCGGACACCGGGCCCGCGGCATCTTCTGGTCGGTAGGGTCGCATGGAGACCACCATGTTGCCTCGCCGCGTGCATCGGGGCGGCTCGTCTTTTGTAAAGGCAACGTAGATTGAGTCACAACCAAACCTTTGGGGGAGTCAACCGAAATGTAAGTACATAAATTTGTATATATATATATACATAGATAGGGTGGGTAAGCAATTAGATTTTGATTAGTATTGATTGTAGCAAAGGTAGGTCTTGGAGGGGGACTTAGCACATATGTATATATATATATGTATAGTATGCGTATACTAACTTCCTGATTGGGTTGGTCAGAACAAGTCTTTTTTTTGGTGCCACTAAAATTGTCTTTCCACAAAGTTTAAAGTCCAGCAGCCCAAGAAGTGAGTAATATGCATATATATATATATATGCAGGCTTTCTTAAACACGACCTAATTACCAGCAAGGTTGGTGACCGTAGGATGAACCTATTTGGTTGACATCTCTCCTTGAGCGCCCAAAAAGCCCCGCCTTGGAACGGGCCTGAACTCCTCAACTTGATGGAGGTGTTGAACATGGGCACGTTCCGCTGCTCCTGTGACAAGGAGCAAAGCCACACGGCCAGGGACCTGTCCTTTTTGGGAAAATAGATGGGTTTCCCTGGTAGTTGTTTAAATATCAGGTAAACCAGGGCCCTCTACTTTTGAACCAAATCAACCAAAAAGACACCTATGACAGTGACACCAATTCGATCCTTTGCCTAGCTGAGGGTTAGACAAATGGGTAACCCTGGTTTTCCGGATGTAGAAGTGGGCTCACTGGGGTGTTGCCGGGGCCAATCACCTAGCTGACTTGTGGGTCATCGTCGAAATTCCCTCCCTCGTTCAGAGAATTGCCCACGAACATTCAGTCAGGAATTCTATTGTGGATGAACACAATACCCAGGTCGTGCTTTTGAAGGGGAACACCCCCTATTAAGAAACAGGGATTGATTCTGCTTCCATTTGCTTCAGCCACCTGGAAAAATAAATATAGTTTCTGCAGTGATAGATTCCCTTTTCAAACGAACAGGTAAAAATAAACTAATCCATTTCAGCAAATGGAAGTACGGGGTCAACACTAACTTAGCGAATCGAACATCCCAAGGTCTCCCCAAGTCAAAAGGCAAGGGCCTCTATAAGCTTTTCCCTTGGCAGATCCCCCTGCTGCCTGATCCGCTCGTGTCCTCGTGAGCGCAAGATATGGCACGAAATGAATTGATTCACAGCATGGACACTGGAGAAAAACTGGGCATCCCTGAACGATGGCTTGTTATGTTTGTCCTTTAGACATCCTTCACCGCGGCCCCCAAGGAGCACCAACTCCAAAAACTAGCACACCCACATCAGGACCGTTAGGTGTCCCTTTCAATCCCTTTTGCACAAGGGCTCTCTCCAAGAAAGACACGCCCAAATAGCAGGACAAAGGGAGAGCAGCCAGTTTCTTCCGAGGAAAAAAAAGTTGAGGAGCATAAGGGAGCCGCCGTTTTTCCGAGGAAAAAAGTTGAGGAGCATAAACACGGGCCATGGGCTCAAGAGAGAAGCCAAGAGCCCCAGCCAAAGCGCCCCGAAGAAAAAACCACTCCGCGCCTGGATGTGGCGTGGCATGAGCTGGGCCTCCGCCAGCAAATCCTCCCAGGTGAAGGAGCATCCAAGGAGAAAGCCCTGCCTTGGTCCCAATCGTCCAAAGCATCCGGGGAGCCGAGCGCCAAGGCGCTCGGACTTGCTTTTGAGTGTTTTTGTTTGCTTTTTGTGTGTGGGGATGTAGTTGGAATTGAGGCGTACCCCTTAAAACTCCAAGCCCTGGGGAAGTTAATCTTTTTTAGACGTATAGCCCATGTTACCCCCAAAAAGTTGAGAAAAGTTGTGTTTTTAAGAGGTAAGTCTTGGTTGCTTCGGTTGTTGTTTGCGGGGTTGAAATGTGCAGTGTATCCATTGTCCAGCTTAAGTTCCTCTAGTGCTTGTGCCCTTGGCTTGTTTGGTCATGGGCTATTAGCACGAATCAATGAGTTGTGCTGCTTCATGGGGGGCTAAGCATTTACCTATTTGCAGACTCCCTCTGGTTGGTGGTTTGGATTGGTGGTTTGGTTTGGTGTTCCGAGGTGGTTTCCCAAACCCGGCTCAAATGCCACCACCAATCCCAACCAACAGCAGGTTGCCTGATACTTCTTCGCGTGTAAGGTCCTTAAGATAATTGGCCCCACTTGAGTTTTGCCCCCTGGAACAAAAATGAACATATGGGTGCGTCTTTTTCAAGGTTGGACACCAAACGTGTGGTTGTCCTTTTGGTGTTCCTTAAAAACCAGAAAACAGGGGTACCACCTCCAAAAAAGACACACCCATTATTTGTTCAGTAGCGGCTCCCTGCAAAACCAGCGAGGGGGTGGGGGGGAAATTCAACATCGTCCTAAGATGTCCTAAGCACATGGAAACTGATGGCTGTCTGAATTCCCTGCAAACAGAAGCCATCTCCCCCCAACCCCCAGAAATCTGTTGACGGCGTGCCTTTTGCTAGACCCACAAAACGGGGCGTCCTTCCTGTTGGTTTCCCTTTAAACCAACCAGAAAGGCGAGCCTCAACGAGACACACAAATAGCTTGGGGTCGAAATTCCATGTGTTTTCGTTGTGTGTTGGTTTCTTTCCGGGACTCCATGACCGTCAATTCACGTGTTTTGACCCGTGGATGGGAAGGGTGGCCCCAGTGGTGACAACGAAATTCATCTGTAAGCCGTAAGCCCAAAGGACGAGCCAACCATCGACCGGTAAGGCTATGGATGCTGCTTTTGCTTCTGTGTCCCCCAGCTCCCTAAACCTTTTAGGGCTCCCGAAAGAAAACACAACTAAACTTAGCTTTGATAAAACATTATAGGTGCCTTTAAGCATACTCCCCGCCAAAAACACAAAATGGCAACGTATGCTAAAGTGGCCCAACAGGTGCAAATCAAATTTATCCAACAAGGGAAACATGGGGGTCTGCTTTGTTGGGGGTGTTTAGGATGGTAGAGGGAAACCAAAGAAAAGCCTAGAACTTGGGAGGTGGTTTTTTTGGGTTTGAATCCCTTTAGTGGACATCAATGGTTTCCCAGAGCCGCTTCTGAATGTCATTCTTTGACAAAACCTTCAAATGGCAGGATGAGCAGTATAAACTCGGTGCCAAAAGTTTAACTTTTAGTGGTTTAATGGAAACCCCAATAGTTGGCAAAAAGTTGAAGTCCTAACATCCCTTGGCAAAATGCACCAAAGTAAAGACCATGGTTTTAAAGTGGCGCGAAGGGGTCTTTTCTCATCCGCAGTATGTCCGCCACTTTCAGGGGGCCTCCTGAAGCCCATGCGGCCAGAAGCACATGTCGTCACGCCAGAGGTCAAGCACCTCAGTTCGCTCCTCCACCATCTCACCTGCGCCCATGTTCATCGACTTCCGGGGGGTCACTAAATTTCTCCTGGCATACCTACTCGGCCGCGCCAACGCGCGCTGTATGGCGCTTTGGGAGCGCGCATGGCAGATATAGGCTACGCATGGCGAGGGTAACAAAGCAACAAGAAACTAATACTGTTGAAGTATTGAGATTTGATTTGATTGAAGTGTCTAAATCCATTAATCCATTGGGAAACATGTTTACATTAGTTCCTATGTTAATGCTATACCTGGCATTTGTATCAGATATATTTTATTTAACCACGTTGAATTATCCGAATATAGAAATCAACTTTGGAGGTTCCAAAAAAAAACAGAGGAACATTGGTGTTTGGCTCTAAGGGGGTCATGAAGATTTACATAACTACACAGTGCTTACTATACCCCCTGTACCAGAACCACCTATCAAAATGGGCCCTTCTTGGGATCCATCGGAAGTGGGATTCGACTCCCAGTGGACCTCCATGGCTATCTGGTTTGGTACCTGGAGGTCATGACCTAATCATTCTACTGGTACCTTCCATTCTTTCCAGGGATCCGACACTTTTTAGGAAACCATCAACAAAAACCCAGGGGAAACCCATGTTTTAAGGGTCAGCGAGACTCCAGGCAGTTGATTTCAAAGGAAACGCCGCCAAAACCTGGGGGTCCGGGAGGGTAAAGAAAGATCTATGGGTCGGTCGCATGGCAGAGTCCCTGTGATCCCGTTTGTCCCCTCGAAAAGAACCTCAAAAAGAGGCATGGAAAAAGAACACACCCTTTTGAGGACGATTTTGGAGGTTGCGTTGGGAAACCACAGGGACACCTAAAGCCCATGAGGCAAACAATAACTTTCTGGATGACATACGATGGATCCGATGGATTCCCTGAATCTTGCAAGTAAGGGAACAAGAAAGCCCTCGAGTTTAGCGCCGGCGAATGGATCACACCAAAGACCGGCCATCCAGCGCACCCAAATGGGTGCGCCTTTCTTTTAGGTCCCCCCCCAAAAAAAAAACATGCTGTCCCTTCAAAACCACCGAGAAGGGGTACCAACTCCAATACACCTGGAGTCTACGCGACCCTAATAAAAAATGGTTGAACATTACCCAAAGTCAAGGGTCATGGGTCCGAAGGAGAACGACCCCAGGCAGACCCAAACTGCGCTCTTTCCTTCAATCAGATCCATCCGAGCCTGGCCTTCCCGCCACACGTGGTACTTTGGCAGGTCCGTGCCTCCAAAACCGAGGCCGCCCACACCGAACAACTCGAAGCCGCGCTGTCCGTTTTTTTGTTGTTTTTTCTGCGTGGGCCGAACGACCGTTCAACGGTCTACCTGGACCCTCAAACAACCCTTAACAAAGGGGAGTCGCAGGGGAATCATCATTCCAGTGCTCAGGTGGTGCAGGATTTCGTCCGCCCACAGTATGAATACGGGGGGTTCCCCCCCCAAAGCTGAATCCCTACTATGTAAAAAGGGGACTCTCCCACTTATGAATAAGCAACCATAATTTTATTAATCCGGGGCCTACCCTACTTGGCCCAAGTCTAAGTTGCTTAGTGGTTTCTGGTACCCTCAAAAAAAGACACCCCTAATTGGGGATGTCGAGCAATCTAGTCAAAGAAAATCGATGGGGTTTCAACCAATCTGGGGCTTCTTAAAACACCCCCAACTGATGGCTGGTAACCTGTTTGGGACGTTTCTAAACATGGCGCGCCAATCTTCGCCGGAGCCCCGGGCGCAAATCCGCGCCCGGCGCCAGGCGGGTCGGCTCGTAGCTGCCCACCGCCGTGGCTTCCAGGAGCGGGCAGGGGGCGCTGTTCTGGGCGCCTCGTCTCTCGCGAGCCGCGAGGGAGCCGCGAGCGCGCCGCGAGCGAGCCCCGTGCGAGACGGAACACGTGGCTCAATGGAACCTGCAAATCTGCTGTGCCCCACATCTGCGCATTGTTGTTTTTTTCTGTTGCTTCTTCTTTTCGTGCTTTGCATGCGCAGTTTGTTTCTGTGCTGTGTTTGCTCTGGGCTGTTTGCTGCTTGTCGTTTAACTGTGTTGTTTGTTTGCTTGCTTGTTTGTCTGGCAGTCTGTCAGTGTGTCTGTTTGTTGTTGTTTGTTTGTTTAGCTTAGTTTAGTGTAGGCAGTTTAGTTTGCGCCTGTTCCGCGGGTGGGTTCGCGGCCGGGCGGGTGGGCGGTCGAGTCGGGGGAACCTTTTTACTTGTTCATCTAACATTGATACGTCATTGCAATTCGCTTCGCTTCAACTTATTTCACATCTAGTTCAAATCATCCGCTCACGTTCTCCCATCGCACCTCACGTTGTCCCATGTTGGTTCCCTTCCTGTCAATCTGCTATACTTGACTTGCTTGTTCTTCACTTGACTTCAAACAGTTTGCTTTACATGCGCCTTCTTCAATACTTAGCCGCTTTCACTGTTGTACCTCATTTTACTTGCTTTACTTTGCTTTCTTCTGCCCTATTGTTCTTTGACTTGCGTCTGCACTTTCACCTCATTCTCCTTGTCGTTGTGCAAAGTTCAATCAACTTGTTTAAGCTTTCTTTCGGTTTTCCTTTGGTTTGGTTGAGGTGTTTTGTTTTTTACTAGCCCCGGCCTTTTACTAGCCCCGGCTCAGCACAGAGATCCCCCATGTGGCTCTGAAGAGGTTGGCTGGGAACCCTTGCTTCGCTCTAGGTTGGGGGCAACAGGCGGTATTCTCTGGGGGCCTAGTTGGCCAGGTTGGGGTCGCTCAGACTAGGGCTGCCAATTGGCTTTGATTTGGTGGCAGTTAAGAGTTGCTCCAGGCTGGTTTCGGGTGAGTGTTGGGCTTGCTGAGGTCTTATATAATGAGTGCGGGTGGTTGTTGTTTGGGGTTCATTTTGGCTTTGTAAAGGGCTGATACCCAGGATGCTGTTGGGAGGGTTGAAAGTTGACTTTGAGTCGGTTTGGGTCGGCTTGGAGCTGATTTGCGCGAGGTGTGCGGCCCGGTTTTTGCACAGCCTTTGGGCTGCTTCAGGGCTTGGTTATGCAAGTTTTGGGCTGGTTTGGGTGGTTTGGGGCAACGCCCCACAACCAATCTCCAAGCAGTCCAAACATTGCATAACCCTCTCAAAGTCAACCATCAACCCTCCCAACAGCATCCTGGGTATCAGCCCTTTACAAAGCCAAAATGAACCCCAAACAACAACCCCAAAACCCGCCCTCATTATATAAGACCTCAGCAAGCCCAACACTCACCCGAAACCAGCCCCCAACCAACCAACCAACCAACCAACCAACCAACCAACCAACCAACCAACCAGCCCCCTGGCCGGGGCTAAGCCCCGAGCCTTTTGGCAGTAAAAAGATACAACACCGGTTCCCCCGAGTTTCCTTCAAAGGAGGTCCACCACTTTGAGAAACATGCCACGAACGAAACCAAACATCGGTAAAAACACCCGGGTGAGCAAACCCAGCGCTTCCAGGCGTTTCGCAGTAGGCTTGCCAGGGGAAACCATCGCGCAAAACCTAGAGGTAAGAAAACCTGGTTACCTACCGTACTGCTAACCCCATATTTATCAACCCCAGTTAAAATCATAGGGGCGGTGTGCCTGGGTGAAATGTGAGGAATCAGACCACTTTTGGAGGGGCCCAAAACCACCCCCTATGAACCAACCGGTTGGTTGATGAATATGGGGTCAACATTTGTGGCGAAACGCCTGCCAGCGGCAAAGGTGCTTTCTTTTTACTAGGGCTGGGTTTGTCGTTGCTTTGTTTTTTTTCCCAGGGCTGGGGTGGTTCTTTCCCAACCAACCAACCAACCCAACCAGGGACCAGCCCTAGTAAAACAACCAGCCCTAGGCAAAAAAAAACGGATCCGCCTGGAAGCGCTGGCACACAAATCAAAACACAGCGCATCCGAGGCCCTGGCAAAAGTCTGAGAACTGCTCCGCGTAGCGCCCCGGAAGGATCACCAGATTCGCTTGCACCTCAGTGGAAGAAGGAAGCCGGACTCAAACTTGGCGACTCAAAAATGTGCGGCCTTCTTGGGTGTTCGGCCAACTTAGCAAGTTGTTGGTAACCTATAGGTTATGAGCCACTTATAAGTCGCCCTATAGGTGGGGTCAACCTTGTTATTCGGGGGTTGTAACCCAAGTGGCTCAGCACTTGCTAACCTGGCGAATCGAACATCCAAGTAGGGAGTAAGCCACGTATGTTTGGCGAGAGTTTGTCCTGAAGAGGTGCCTTCGGACGCTGTGTCGGATCTGTGCCTTTCGCTTGCATGAGGATGCTTCGGGCGGGCAAGCCTTTGTTGGCGACAGGCATTTCAGCAGACAGACGTTTACTAGGGAGCAATCGGAATAAGGAACAAAAGTATTCTGGTCTATATTTAGTGAAGATTGAAATATCCTATGTAAAATGCAAAATCCTTAAAACAGCAGGGATCCTTGCATTATACACCTGAACATTGCCTTGTAAATAGTGGTTCCCTTTATTTTGGTGGAAAACACCATGTTTCAAATCAGCAAAATGTATCTTTCAAGGAGCCCTGAACAGAGATCCTAGAAATCGGGGACAAACAACACCTGCACCAGCTGCTGAGGAGCTGCGAGCGGAAACTTCTTGCTTTGCGGGAAATTGGGAAGATCCGGACTGAAAGACCGGGTAGAAAAGATTGGGAACCCCTTGTTTTTCAGAAGGGGTGCTCCCTGGGATGTAGTTTTAGCGCTGCAAACCTCAGAAAACACTACCAAGACCATGGTTTAGTGTTTGTTTTTTCAGGTTTTTTTTTTGGGGGGGGGAATGGTGATCCTCAGTTCAAAGACCTGGTACAAAAAGATTGGGAACCCCCTCTTTTCTTTTCTTTTGGGGGGGGAAGATATGGTTTAGCAAAATCCTGAGCCGCCAAAGAGGAGCTTCAAACTTGGTCCATGGCAAAAAAAACTCGACCAGCGGCAACATGTTGGAAAAACTGCCACTTCCAGCCCGAAAACACAGAAGTTTTTTTAGGCCTCAACCGCACCCGAGGTCCCCCGAGGTCAACCACGTCCGAGCGCTCGAGCCGCCCCCGCCGAGCCGCGTGGCCCGGGGCCTGGCCCGCCGTGGGCCCCGCGAAGGCGCCGGCGCGGCAGGCGCCGCGCAGCGCCTTCCCCGTGGCGAAGGAGCCGAAAGCGGAGGCGCCTGGAAGGAGCGAGGCGTTGGGCAGGCGCGAGCCGAGGAAGGCGCGGAGGGGGGAGGGTGTTGGGTTTGTTTCTCTTGGAACTGACTCGGCCTTTTTTGCGGTAAGATGTGAAGGCTTGGGTGTTCAACCAAAAGGATACCATGCTTTCATGGATGTCAGCAAGTCAAAGGCGGGGGAAATCGACCCAGAAGCATCTTTGCCTTTTGCAGGACAGCGCAACCCAGAACTACCTGGAGGTGGCCAAAAATTGCACACGTTGCACTGTGACTGCTGGCATTTTTGTTTGGACCTGGCCCTTTTGTGCGGTAAGATGTGAAGGCTTGGGTGCTCAACCAACTTAAGGATACCATGGGGTGAATGCAAGTTGTGGACCTCATTTTTCCGGGCTGCCCTCAGATCCCCGCCTAAAAGTGACCAACTTTGAGTGGCTTCTGTAGGGCAAATGAATGCCCATCTGTTTTTGCGGGTACCTGGACCCTCAAACCCAAAGACACGGGTTTTGGACCCATTCTGACCCCAAAAGAATAGGGTCGCTTTTGGGGGTTTTGCAACCCAAAAGTATGGTTGGTCCCTTAGGGTAGGCGGGTCAACCAACTTACATCAGGGACATGACACAACCTCCTATGGCCAAGTAGAGCGGATGACTAAACCCGAGAATAATGCGCTACTTTGCATAGTTCGAGGGGGCAGGTAGGTAACCATGGTAAGTGGGTTAACTGGGGCTAGTGCCAACTAGCTTGAACACCCTTTGCTGATTCGGGGCTGTCCCCCTTTGGATGGTTGGGTTCAGAAGAGGTCTGGACAGATTAATTTGCAACATCCCCTTCTGGAACCAAATGGGTGTGGCATTTTTTACCCCGCCCGCCCCCTCCAAAAAAAGAAAAGCAACAAAATATACTGGTGGTTTTCCTTTTGGGTTCCCTTGAAAGCCACTAAACAAAGGGAGTACGGGAGTACGGGCAAATTGGCTGAGTCAATGAACCCAAGACCAATCCCAGAGGGTCCTTGGCCCCCCGAAATCTGCATTATGAGGATGTGAAAATCCCATGATTTTGGGGCAAGAGCACTATGTGGAAACTGCCACGAAACCCCTAAGCCAAAAGATCCAAGTGGATGGCTGGGAACCACCATGATTCTATGGATGGTTTCATGGGAAACCCCATCATGTTTTCGGGGACTTTGGACCCCGTGGGGGAATCCCCACCCGCCGCTCCCGCCGAGCCGCGAGCCTTGCCGGCGAAGACTTCCCACGAGTCTGGCTCTCATGCCGCCACAGCGGCCATGCGAAAGGACGAGGAGAGCCAACCCCCTGACTTTACAGGGATCCTTACATTATACACCTGCCTTGTATATGGTGGTTTCTCTTTATTTTGGTGGAAAAAGCCATGTTTCAAATGGTCAAAATGTATCTTTTAAGGAGCCCTGCTAAACGACTCTCTTTTTGCTTTCCTTCGTTCTCCCGTTCTTCTCAAAAGGAAAACAAAAACATTGTGTCCCTTCGTTCTCCCATTGTTCTCGATAGAGAGGCCAACAACAATTTTCAACCAGTGGATCGGCGACCATACTTCTGGAAGAGAAGGAACCCTGAAAAAGGGGAAGTGACGGCTAGATTCCTGCGATTCCGATGCGCTGGTTTGTGGTAAGCTGGCCATATAATTCTTGCTCAGTTGTGTGGATATGACCCACCCAAACCATTGTCGGCTTGCGCAGGTTGACAACATTGCAGAAAGCTCTGGCCTAAGGAAAACCATGGCAAGGGCAAACCGGCGGCTTGCTGCAAACTCTGCGATCCTCTCTCTTGAGCAAATGGCCCCACCAGTGCCTCAACCCGCGTCAGGTTGACACTTTCACCCACCAATCTTGAGCAAATGAATCAAAGCCTGCAGCAAGTTTCGTTTTGGCTCCTCAGCCTCCAAAGTCGGTTGGCTCAAATGTTGAGCCAAACCCCAGGTCTCTGGCTTGAAACAAAAATCTCGGCGAAATCTGCGAAGCCATGCTCAAAGTGAATAACTCTTAGTGGTTTAATACGGAACACCCAGTAGTTGGCAAAAAGTTAAAGTCCTAACATCCAAGCAAAACGCAACAGCTGGTCTGACTTTTAGTGGTTGGCAAAAAGTTATTCAGTCCTAACATCCCTTGGCAAAACGCAACAAAGAAATGCTGGCTGCTAGATAGTGAGAGACAGTTGTTCTCCCGAAGTTGAACAGCCTACTTTGATCGCCCCACAATGACAGCCAGTGTTCCCTCGTTTTGGGCAACAAAGGTCCCCTTTCCAGCTTGCCGTTACTTGTTTCGCGTCGGTAGGTTGGCGGGTGACCTTATCATTGAACAACTGGGGCTAGTCTCCTTACAATGTTATAACCTAGTTACCTGACGTTGGTTGAACACCCAAGTAATTATAACCATGGTTCTATTAACAGAAGGGGACGCCCTGGGGGCTGCCCTCTATATTCATTTACCCCCTTTGTTGTTTTCCCCCGTATGGTTAGTAGCACCCAAGTAAGGCAACTCATCGAGGCCCCGACATGCGCTGGGCCTGAGCAACGCAGAATCCGAATCCGAATCCGCGGCCCGCGGCACGGGTCCCGCAAACACAAGCAACGAACAAGCGTGCGAACTGGCCAGCAAAAATTGAACAAACAAACAGAGAAAGAAACAACGAAACAAAGAGACTGAGAAACAAAGAAACAATCAAAAGAAACAGGCAAGAAACAGCCCCACCACATATCCAAACCAACAGAGAAACAACAAATCGATCAATCAATCAATCAATCAATCAATCAATCAATCAATCAATCAATCAATCAATCAATCAATCAATCAATCAATCAACTCAATCAATCGATCGATCAATCAATCGATCAATCAATCAAATCCAATCCAATCAATCAATCAAATCAATCAATCAAATCAATCAATCCAATCCAATCCAATCCAATCCAATCCAATCCAATCCAATCCAATCCAATCCAATCCAATCCAATCCAATCCAATCCAATCCAATCCAATCCAATCCAATCCAATCCAATCCAATCCAATCCATCCATCAATCAATCAATCAACTCAATCAATCAATCAATCAATCAATCAATCAATCAATCGATCAATCGATCCATCGATCCATCGATCCATCGATCCATCAATCAATCAATCAATCAATCAATCAATCAATCAATCAATCAATCAATCAATCAATCAAATCAAATCAAAACAATCAATCAATCAATCAATCAATCAATCAAATCAAATCAAATCAAATCAACTCAAATCAAATCAATCAATCAAACGAACAGACAAACAGACAGACACAGACAGACACGGACAGACAGACAGACAGACAGACAGACAAACAAACAAACACGGAAATAAGCAAAGACACAAACAACTCAGCAAACTAATTAACTAACTAACTAAGCAAAAAAACAAACAAGCTAACAAGCAAGCAAACAAGCAAACAAGCAATCAAGCAATCAGTCAATCAAACAAACTTCTGGGGAACAAAAGTGAACTTTTGCTGCCAGGGAAGGCCAAGTTAACTAGTTGGCAACTGGAGAATGCGCAAAATTCGGAAAGGGTCACGGCCATGGGTCAAAATCCCGTCCCCCAGTGAACATCCCAATCCCCACTAAAATAGACTAAAATGGATGGTGCACCTACCCCAAGATGGGTTCCCATTGGCTTTGACAACCACAGCCACATAGCCACAAAGAATCGTCAATGATCTCTCTCCTCCGCCCGGCCTCTTCTCGGGCCTTGCCATCCACCACACGCACCCTACCAGCGAGGCTGGATGTCTTGCCCGACACGAGCGAGGGACGTTTCTAGGTCCTCCATTAGAGAGGATAGAATAAGGGTATCAACTTTTTTCTGTAGTTTATTTTAGTAGAAAAGGGTAAAAGGGCACTACTGGGGAACCTAGGTTTGGAAAACCAACGTACCAATGCTCAAAGCTTAAAGAACAGAAGAAGTAGCCATTGACCTTGGTATACTTTCTTGCATGACATGCGTGTCCCAAAATGATGGACCCCTTAAAACGGGCCGTGTCCATTTGATTTCCAGTAAAACCCTAAAATCCAAAACAAAACACAAGTGTGCGATCTGGAATTCAAGGGCTCAAAGTGAATAACTGCTAGTGGTTTAATACGGAAAACCCATTAGTTGGCAAAAAGTTGAAGTCCTAACATCCAAGCAAAATGCACCGAAGAGATACTGGCAAAGCGTCTGAGACTTGAGTCCCTCGGAAGCTCTGGACACCAAGACTCCACGTCCAACAACCTTTGGCGAGGCGAGGACGAGAGGAAAGGGTTCCATGGAAGCAAAGGAGGCCCCGAAAGAGAACTCAAGGTGCGAAGAGAGGGGGAACTTACATGTTCAGCCAACTTAGTAAGCAGGTTGTAACCACAGTTTCAAGTGGGGGAAATGGGGCTGGTTCGCTTACAACCATGGTTATAACCTTCTTACTAAACCCAAGAAAAGGTTTTGATCTCATCTCCTAGAGGGTGGCTTTCAAGATTGATGCAGAAATCTTGCTGGATGTCTTGCTGGTGCTAGATAGAATGACCCCGATTTACACCATCTTTTGTGGTTGCATTTAAGGGGACCCCTGATTCATTTTCTCATTCCCTACTGAGCACCAGCAAGCAGTGAATTCCTTCTGCAAGAGGCAGGAGAAGGCCTCGGGATAGGGCAGGCAGGAGAAGCTCAGACGAGAAAATGCCAGCAGAAGGGCGGAAATGTTAGTGGGAAGCTAATGTGGACCCGGGATCCAAGTAGAACCCGTCCTCGTCATAGGGGGCCCTATTCATCAACCACCAGGGTCTATCAATCAGTCACTACTCGATGCCAGTCCCCTATAACCAGTGGTATTAACATTTAGCTAAGCCCCAAACCATCTAAGTGGAAGTTGGATGCCCTGCCTGCGGATGTTTCCCAGCGACCAGGTAGCATCCACCTGCGAGCAGCTTGCGCAAAGAATCCGCGCCAAACGGAGGGAACCCGT